TTGTCAGAGGTCTTTCAGAACAAACAGCCCTGGTATCTTAAATATAAAATCTGTTTTGATAGATTGTGGAAAACAGTTGTTTTTTCACTACTGAGTGAGCGAACAGAAAACCTTTGATCTCCATTAGCCACTACATTAACAAACTTTGAGAAGGGGGAGACAAAAACATCACCACAGCAACTGTTCAACCTGTGAAACAGCCATTAGAAAGACATCAAGTGTAGCAAGCAAAAAAGAATTGAACAAAAAATAGATTTATGTGAACACTTTCGATTACAGGCAATTACCTCTTGCAAAATTTAGAAAAATGATAGTGGAGAAAGTTGGAGAAATCTGGGAAGAAACTGTCTTTGGTTCATTGAAAAAGATATCTGAAGCATAGCAAGAGGTGGCAGGTAAAAATCAGAAATGAAATTGCTCGCAGATGAACCTTTGAACTTATGAAAGTAAAATATGCAGTTAAATAGGGTCTGTTAATAGAATAATTTATGATGCATTTAGGTTTATGTACTCATGCAAGGAAGATGTCTATTCAAGATTTCCAAGAAATATGCTTTGCTTTTGCCTGTTTATATTTGACTTTGAATCTTATCAGCATGATTATTATTATCATCAAGTAAACTTAATCCCTCTTGTGTGTGTTTATTATAACATAATTGTCAGAAATCAATCCCCGCTTCAGACTTTGGACATTCTTTCATGTGAAGAAGCTATCCAGCTTGCTTTAGGAACATCAGAGGGTCTACTCATACTGGTTTGTGCCTGAAATAAAGCAATAATATCTATTGTATTATCACTGTCAGTGCTTTAACTTCTGTTAGCATTACTTATTGCATTGTCATTATTGTCACTGTTATAATGATCATTAATAACATCATTGCCATCATCCTTACCATAATCCATTGTCAGTCATCTTGTCAGCATTGTTAATTTCATTGTCACTTTTGTGAATGATTGATATTAATATCATTAGTAAAATTTTCATTGCTATCCTTAACATTGTCAGTCCTTTCTGTCAGCATTGTTTCCAAAACTGTCATCATTGTAACTCAACAGTTACTTATATTATTGATAACATCATGATTGCCATGGTTCTTACAATTGTCAGTCATTTTGTCAGTATTCATTCCTGAACTATCATTGTAACTTTCACTTATAGCATCATTAACATCATCCTCACCATTGTCAGTCATATAGCCAATGCCAGAGTTTTCTCAACTGAATCTTTGATTCCTTTAATCATATTTAGGGCCAACATCAAAAGACTTGTTATCTTTCAAATTTAACCTTCTTTTCCTTTTTTCTTGGTTTACACAGAGAATGGATTTATTGGTTTGGGAAGTAAGATCAGTATTGGAAAGCACATTTTCTACAATTTCCTTTCATTTATTGTTCATGTTTTCTGTTTTTAGTGATATACAATTGCATTTCAAAGATGTTTATTTCTTAGACCCACCAACACGACCAGCATCTGTCAGAAATGATCCAGAAACAGGATTCTGTATGAATGGTTTATGCTTGCTAATTGGGTAACCGTGCTGGGCTGAATGGTGTGAGACATTGGCGATAATTAACATGCCTGTTCTTTTACTTATAGGTTAATCTAAGGTGTAAATATTGACAGAATGTGGTCTTCCTCCATTCATTTAGATAGGGGCATATGGAAAATGACTGGTAGAAAAGTGAGAAAAAAAATCCAAAATGAAGTTTTAATTGGTTGAAATATTTACATTTTGACTGTTTCAAAGAATTTTGTACTACAGGTGTATGCATTTTTAAATCACATTTTTAACATATGCTATAGGGCGGGTCTTTAATTCTTGGGGAAATGATGTCTTACTTGTAAGCATGTGGTTTAATTGAGTTATTTTTCTGCAGGTTTTTTTTTTTTATTAAAAGTTTGTTTGAAATTGTATAGTGCTATAGTCAAAGAGTCTGACTGGTGTGGGTGGGGAGATATCAAGTGTTATAAATTGATGTCTTGCAGAGTATATATTAGAAGTGTCTGTAAGCACTTCACTTGAATAATTAAAACTGTCTCTAAAATATATATTGTTATCATTTTGGATCATTATTAACTTGCTGAACACTGATAAAGGTATAAACAGAAGTCTAATATGCTTAATTTTACCTGTGTGTTTTTAATTTCTAAGTTTTTGAAAATTATGTTTTGTGCAATATTTCTAAGCTAATAATCTTGCTGGCCATTAATTTACACTGTCTACTTGGCTTCAATTAAAGTTGTCAGGGGTCATACATGAAGTCATAAAAAATGAAGACTGCTTCTGGTTAGTGTAACAGTTTGATCATAAAAATGCCACTGGATTGTTGGAAAGATGTACTTGATCCATATTTGGCTTGTAAACATAGTTACATGAGTTGATTAATTATCATAACTTGGGATAACGTCAACACCTCCAGCAAATATGGTCAGACCACAGGTGCTTTTTGGTTTACTGTTTGCTACATTAAAATCTTTATGGTGATTACTTTTCATTGGGTTATTCTGTCAATGGTAGCATATAATTCATCTGTCATTTCTATTGGTCACTTATTCTAAGGCAATATGTTATCTGTCATCTAATTTGTGACCCAGTCTAAAGTGATATGTTATCTTGATTTTCATTAGTCCAGTGATTTATGGAATGCTTGCAATCCTTGAGCACTGCACAACAAGTTTATGATCAAAATTTACTGCATGAAGTGAGCGAAATTGATGATGAGGGGCTGATTATGAAATTCTCATTTATTTAACACAATAAAGTTGTCTGTTGTTAAATCCCTCGGAGCAACAATTTTCACCTGTCCGTGGCATTTTATTACCCCAACCCCACAGGGTAGGGTCACACAATTCTCAGGTTACTAATGTTAGCTTTTAAAGAAAGAGCTGGCATAATAATACTTTGTCTGAAGATAAATTTTAAAATTTAAATTAGAATCTGTAAAATTTAAATTGAAATTAAGAAAAATCTGAACAGTGCAATTCAACTCTAGCTGTAAGACAGTTTTCAAATAATAAATGTAGAGTGCTTGAATATTTTTGGATTTTGGATCCAATTTTCATTACAATTTGATTAGGATGAGATAAAATATTACCAAATATTGCAAATAAAAATGCTTCTGACATGCTCAAGATTTATCATCTACTATTTGAATCTAATTACAAGATGTAGAAATTACAGTTATTTATGTGAGTTTTCATCAATTTCATTTCAATCATCATCACAATTTGGGAGATATCAAATCACAAATCAAATTACAAAAATCTATTTTTAGACTCCACAAAATAGATATCATAAAGCATTTCTGAAGAAGAAAAAAAGAATCTGGAAAAATTGAGAACTTATCAGTTGAATTACAAGTCTATTACTAGGGGGAAAATTGAGGTAACTGTGAACTGACAAAACTTGATATTCAATTTATGTAATCTTGAAGACCGTTCAGATAAAACGTGAAAGATTGGTGCGATTAGGTGAAAATTATGTTACCATGAAAGATGTACATAATACAAACTGAGATTCCTATCTCGATGAATTTCATGACCGTTTTGTTGAGATACTGTTGATACGTACCTTTGTTCTTGAAGTTGCGGTAATATTTATGATGTCATTAATATGATGTATTGAATAATTATCAGCGGTACTTTTTTAATAATCAAAGAAGAACAAACATGAAACTTAAGGGTAGAGCAGATTCTTGATGTATTTTCAGAATTATAGTTGTAGAACAGGTAAGAAAGGTGAGAAATCTGATCGTTCATGAAATAATTGAAATATCAGAATTATAAGAAACAAAACATAAGTTTATACAGATGTGTTCGTAACTGCTTTTAAGAGAGAATATTTTATTGAAAACCTTTTGTTTGTGTCAATAACGCTTCATATGAATTATATAAATTATACATGTGTTCATTAACTTGATTGATATACTGTAACATGCTCATTACAGTGTATATATTAATGTATGCACTGCTCTAAAAGAATCCTTGAAATTATAGACCCATTTACTTTAACAATCATATAAAATTGTGAGTAGTTCTGTAAAGAATTCAAACAAGGGAAAGACAAGAAACATTGACTTTTTTATTGATACTCAAAAAATATTCATTAAGTTGAACAACAACCAAAAAAACAAAAAAAAACATTTAACTAAATATATAAAATCTTGAGTTTCTTTAAAAAAGAAAAGATTAGCTTTAATTTCAATTGACCTTTTTTGTTGAAGGTCAAATGTATGGAAGAAAGCAGCGATAAAAATCATGCTGTTTGACAGGTTCTAAATGGGTTCCGTTTGTCAATAGGAACATGTTCAGGAGGGCTCCGTGTGTCATTGATACCCATTTCGATTCATTAAACAGCAACAATATTTTTCCTGTGACAGAAGTTGGTTTGGCAAATTAGGGAAAAGTTTCACACATTAATGTAACAAGAGTAGATGATTATTGCAACACATTATTTCTGCTTTGGGGAATGTTATATAATTTACTGTATTGTAACAAACCATTTAAGGGACATTTTACTTCTATGACCCTACAGTTGACCCTCCGGGTTTTTGCCAATCTTAATCTTAATGTATATGAATATAACTTAAAAAAAAAATTCAGGAAAAAATTTAAGGGTGTAAATCCTGGGTTATATGATTATTTCAAATTGTCTTATTAAAATAAATTTTTTACCTTTGTTTGTGTTCCATACTAAAAATAATTCGAAATGTAATTAATGTGTTTAGTCTATGTTCTGAAAGTGCCATTAAAAAGTTGCAGACTCAGACTACCTTAAATTATTGCAGGTGCCCTTTTATTTATTGAGAGTTAGATCTGTTAACACATTTTCTATGCCTTGGAGCAACGAAATGCCATCTTCACTAATTCTATATGAGAAAATGTTTTTTTCTTGAAACCTAATTGTCTCTAAATCTTCCTCACATTGTCAGGGATAGAGAAAAAAATGCATTTTTCTGAGATTTATTATCCATTCAAAAATCTATTTTTACATTTCCAGGTTACAGTATCCGACAATGGTGAACCGGCTTTAACCTACCAGACCCGTGTATTCATCAAAGTGGAAGATGACAACGATAACCGACCTAAATTTAACAAACGTTTGTACCGGATACAGACCCCAGCCACAGAGTTCATGGGTTTGGATATACCTGTTTTCCAAGTTCTTGCATGGGACGATGACGAAGGAGAGAACGGGGAATTGACCTTTGACATTCGTAACTCTAAAGATGATTCCAAAATTTTCATGGTTCACCCAAAAACTGGCATGATATATGCAACAGATAGTCTTGAGTACGGAGATGTCCATCATTTTGTGGTAAGTGAATAGAATTTGAAGAATTAGATTTTGGAAGCTTTCCTAAAGTCAAGGTCAGACAAATTTCATGCCATGTTCATGCAACCCTTGTGTTATTGTAGATATTTTGGTAAGAGTACAGCCCCAATCAAAATTTATAAGGTTTTTGGCAATGCATTTGTAGTTGGTATAAAAAAATGCATGAAGTGTATGTCTGGTTCTATTCATCAATGACAAAGCTTTTAGGTTGCTAATAATATTTATACTATATTTCCATCACCCAGGTTCGAGCTTCAGACAATGGCAAACCAAAGCCTAGAAAGACCACGGTAAAGGTTAGGATAGAGGTAGTGGAGAGAATGAAGAAGTCTCCAAATGTGCCCAGATTTACTACGACTTCTATGATGAAGCGTGTAATGGAGGATGATAAAGTAGGTCACCTAGTGGATCTTCTTCAAGCGCATGACCGGGACAACAACGATCAGCTCTTTTATTCCATTATAGGTAATAATCTGTACTGATATTACATAGATTTAATTATAAATAGGCGCCGGACAATAACACCTGTTTACCCATTTCTTTTAAAATAGCTCCTCGCATATAATTTATCATTATCAGAAAATGTAATTACTCTTTGGCCCTTGGCAAATTTCGTATACCTACCTGTACTAATCTAATTTTCAAAAAGTGGAGAGCCTTTCATAAGGGGAAGTAATTTCAGTTCTTAAAGTATAATTATTCAATTCTTTGTAAGCAAGCTTCGTGTGTTTTAGGTACAATAACCTTTAACAAATGACTGTTTGACGGAACACTGGTGTAACTCTACAAACTTACAACAGTGAGTTACAGTAATTTGGCATTTAGTTCTTTAAAAATACAATTTAAGTCTTCCCAGCACTCTATGCTCTTGAGAGTCTTGAAATCTGTCTGGTTACCGGCTTAGTTAATCCGACTGCCAGCATGTAGGTAGATGGGAGGGGTACCCTTTGCCCAGCTTCACCTGATTTTCTCTAATCATTGAGCTTTTCTGGAATTAATTAAGAGCAAAGAAACTCATAAATCATCTGGTAAAAAGGATACACACAAGAATATAAAAAGGTGTTGGATACTTAATCATGGTCATAGAACCTTTGTCCTGTCCAAGGTTTTATTCTGTAACCAAACCCACTTTTATGGTGAAACCACTTAGGTGTATACACTATTCAGCAAACATAGCTAAACGTTTGTAGCTGGCAGAAAATGGTTAAAGTAATAAAATTGTAATAAAACAACAAGTTCAGTCAAGTAGGTTGATTCTTGCCTGTTACAAATGCAGTAAAAGTGTTTGAATTAAGTTGTAAATTGTTTTTCTGATTATTTACTTCTTTTATTGTACTAATAGGCATGTTTTTCACTACCTTCAAAATGAAGAGTTTGATAGCCAGGCTTTTGTGACCTCTGCAGTGAAGAGTTTTATAGTCACACTTTTTCTATCTCCAATGGAGAGAGGCCTCTTTTTTTCTTCTTTGTGACATCTAAACCTTCAGTATATACCTCAGTAGATATAAAAAGAATTAGGGGAACACACTTTTGCTGTCAGATTTCACCTTTGATGATGAATAAGATGAAATATTATAAAAACAGATGTCCAGGTACAGTGAATACCATAACAGATGTTAATGCATGGTGCTTGGCCTGTTTTGACCTGTGTTAATTAGTACCTAATAAAAGTACATGTATGTAATATGTTTTCATAATTTAGAAAAAAAAAAATAAGAAAAAATTTAAATTAAAAAAAAAAAATGTTGTCAGCATTCTATTTTGTTGCTGTTTATAATACTGTTAGTTTATGCAGTAAAAATATTATGTCATTTGTTTATTCATATTTTTGTTCAGAAATATGTACATAAATTATGTACATGTGTAGTACATATCAAATTATTGAACAATATTACATTTCTGAATAAAAAAATATTTAAACGGTTACATAATATATTATGAAATTGTAATATTCTAGAATTTATAGACGTGTTCAGACATTCAGAAATCTCATAGAAATAGAGGGGTATTATTATAGTTAAAATGACATGATGGTTTATATGGATTTAGGAGGAAACTTATAATATAGTTAACATGATTGATTGATGCCAGGCATCTGATGCCATTATGAACGAATCTATTGTCATTATTTAGAATGAATATTTACTCATGTTTAAAATGATTGAGAAAATATATATAATACATAATGTAGGGTATAAATATGCACCGATTTAATTCACTATAAAAATTTTGTGTTTTGTTTAGTCTCTCAAGTTTTATGGTAAGACCATTGCTCTAAGGATCATGTTTCAATAAGTGGGCTACTGAATATCCCATTATAATCGAGCAGAACTATCTCCTGTGAAATATTTATTGTTTCCCCCCACTATACTTTGAGCAATTAGGTATTTAAGATAAGTAGAAGGTTATCTTATACATTATATGGCCATTTACCCCATTCTGTCAGTATCTTAATGCAGACAATGGTAGAAGGAAAGAAACATTTGGTTAGGTTATTGCATATTTAAAAAGTTTTGAATAAATGTTTTAGTGTAGGAATCAAAGATTTAATCGTTAGTCCTCTCCTTGCATTCCCCCTACTCCCCTCCCTGTCAATGCAACAGTGCAACAGACAGACAGACAGTCTTCATCCAAATCTGTTGGGGTTACCCCTATCCTCAAAACCCAGCTTATCCACTTGTTATTCATTTTCGGATATCAAAACAGGTTTAACATTTAAGTGTTATAGTCTGTGTTTAGAATATCAAAAATAAACATTCTTGTTGAAGAAAAAAGCAACCAAATTGCAGATAGCAGAATTTTTTATAAAGCATTACTTGTATTAGAGTGGGAAGTCTGCAAAATGGAAAAATTAATGACACTTTTTTCTTGATGAAATATTTAAAGTTGAGAAAACAATCAGTGTATTGAAACATTAGAGCATGTGGGTAGTAGTTTAATCCTCATACATGTCAATTACCACTAAGAGGTAAAAAGTGCTACCTTCTTTTTGATCACTAAAAATGCCACTTCCATCATTTCGGGTTCAAATCTGGCAAGGGATATTGAATTATTTCATGTCTAGTATGAACTAAGTGAACTTACAGATTTACTGCCCTGTTGGCACAGTCATGCCTTAAATGATGCACAACATAAGGGGCATCTTGGGTCTCCTTCTCAGGTTAAGTTGGCATATAGCCATATAACCTTCATAGTTTAGGCTATTTTAAAACCAACACAGAAAAGAAAAACGGCAGAAAATTTAGGTTACAGTTAGATGAAAAAACAATAGAAATGTTTGTATATCAGTTTTATTGCATATCAAATAAGCCTTTTATGACTTCCTGACATAATTTTTAAGATAACAAAGCAATAAAAGATCATAATGTGCATATATAAAATCATCTTAAAATCTATTTCCCTGATAACTTGGCATACATTGAGGATTTATGGCCAGTGTTTGAAAGTTGTAAAGATATGATGGTTTATTAAGTGCCTGTTTTCAGAGTTTCTGATGGCCGCAGTGACATCAAATCTGGGTCAATTTTAATGTATTTAGCTGCAAACAATACAACATTCTCCTCAAATTATTGCCAACTGCTCAACATGCATTTTGTATTTTTGATTATAGAGAACAAATCAGTCGAGATAACCACAATTCCTGAGTAAACAAACACGTTACTCGAAGATCTCTTGATCCGTACTCTAGGTCCATTTGATCCAAGCTGTAAACCCCTTAATCCATGTGCTGTTGCTCTCCAAACATTACTTTAGATTAAATTCTTAAAAAGCGTGCTCAATAAATGATATGTATATTTATATATGTAAAATAGAAAATTAATTTGGCATGTCAAATGTTTCTTTTTTTCATTCCATCAGAATACTGCATTTGAAATTTTACATCTGTCGCAAAGTTCGGAAAAAAAATCAGAGGAAAAAAGATTAGGAATGACTTCAAAATCCGTTCACAGTTATCTCCCTTTATTCCCAGCACATGTTGCCATTTAAAGATTATGCCTGATGAAAGGAAAACATCATTAATTTTGTTTCTTTACTCAGGTAATCTGAACACAATACTGGTCAGTGTGCCAGGACGCCTGATCGGATTAACCTGTGTCGGACAAGAGGGATATTATTTCTGTAAATTAATATCAATAATGTTTTATTTGCTATAGTTCCATAACAAATAAAGACAGCTGGACTGTATCAAAAGTCTTTCTGTGAGTTCCTTCCTGTAAAGCATAGTAAAAAAAGAAATACAATGTTGATTTCGGCAGGATGTTTTGGTGTATCAAATTATTAAGGAATAAAGAAGTTTTGTATCGCTCCAGCCAATGAAAAAAAGAGATATAAAAGAAACAAAAACACCCCCTCCCCCACAAATAAGAAAAAATAAATTAAAAAAACCTAAGAGATAAGTTCAAGGTAAGGACAAAAGCTATGTCTGTTTTCTTGTAAAGCCATCATGACTTTCTTATAAATGAAATTCTTATAGATATTTTGTTGTGATATAGATTCTAAAATTTTATGGAACATGCTTAGAAACAGAGTATCCTAATAGTTCAAACACACCTTCAATGCTAGAACTATTACACTGTTGTGGGAGAAGTTATTAATAATTTAGTAATTTTCTGGCTCGAATATCACCAAGACTGGCTATCTCTCTGGCTTTATTACATTTTATGGAGGACAGAATTACTATAGCGGGTCAATTTGTCTGGAGCTTTTCTTGTTTAATGATTATCAGTTTTGATATTTTTATGATGAAAATAATGATGGTATTGTCATGAAAATAAATCATAATACAGTAGAACTAAGTCGAAGTTGAAGGAACTTGCGTTAAAACTTCGACACATCGAACCTTCGACTCATGAATCAGTCTTAATTTAATGACAAAATTTCAAAGCCATCGATGATAATTGGAGGAAATATATTTGAAAACATTAAGGAATGTGTTTATGTTAAATTGTCAGACTTAAATTTATTGTCATTTGATGTTATATCATTTTTATTGCCAATAAGGCTAATTCCCCCTTTCTATTGTACAACAATCTAGTCATAAATTTTTCATGTGTCCATGAATCTGAGTATCTTATATAGAAGTACATGTTTGATGTTTTTTGTGGGCTTTAAAAATGGTTATTTTCAAAAACTGCTGATTTGACAGTTTTTGTTTCAAGTAGGAAATTTATAATAAAGTGAAAACAAAAACAAGCGTGTCATTTGATTATGGAAAGGAAAACAGCTCCTTTGATAATGCGGTGAAATCTCTTAATGGGATTCCGTTGTTGTACGAATATTTTCATATCAAGTTGTGTTGTTTCGCATTGTAAAGATAAGGCAGAATTTTCCTTGAGTGGCGAATCAATAGAAGAATTAACAAATAGAGAAATATATTATACACTTTCGGTGCCTCAGGTTTAGCAGGGGAGAATGAAATGTCTTAAGATGGTATTGGTGACTTTGTTACATACAAGAAAAGTATGTTCAACTTGTCTGTTAAGTAACTATTATACATTGAATCTATTGGTGAGAGAAAAATGATCTATCCCAACAACTTTTACCTCATAAGCCATTTGAAAAAAGTTTGTTGATGTTGTTGTTAATCAGAATAGAATTATGTTTTTTCTTATAAGATATTGAACAAGATTTTTAAGTTTGATGTTATGTTATGAAATGTGAACCATATTTTATCAATATGAAAATCTTTTCTTTTCAGATGGAGACCCACACAATCAGTTCTACATTGGTTTGGACACAGGTGCCCTGGTGGTGGCTCGAGCCCTTGACTGGGAGGTGAAAAGCTTCTATAACCTTACCATACAGGTCACAGACGGCGTTAACTTCGATAACTGCTCTGTAAGTTTAATTAAATATTGTTTATTGTTTTTATGGAGAAATAATGTTGTTTTGCTAAGATATGTGATGTTTCATTTTCCATGTCCTGCATGGAGACAGAATGCTTAAAGAATAAATAGATCAATGAAAGAAAATCAAAAAGCTGATTCCATGGTCATTGGTTTTATTCCATGGTCTCTCTTTAATAACATATACCATGGTCATTCTTCATGATTTTGCTTGCATTTTCCAAGTTAAGTTTTCCAAAACAGAACATTTTTTAAGACGATTGATAACAAATATTTTGAAAGTTCAAGGTCATTAAAATGATGTTAAATATCAATGGGGCAAATTTTTGTTCACTCTGTGCTACAAAGATTTCCAATACGGTAATTTAATTATAGGCCAAAAACTACCAAGATGAAAATCTATTGGAAAACAAATTAATTTTACTTCCATGTCAAGAACAGCTCAAGTTTCCATTATGTTCACCTTGTAAACATTCTATGCTACGAAAAAATCACTTATGTCAGCATAATCTATCAAACTATTTCAAATCCGTGTATTAAAAGGGCATCAAACAGCTATTATTGTCATTATTCCGCAATAGATCAAACACTTATAATACAGCTTTATAACATCCAGCCGATGGTCTTTATTAAGATTTCTAAATCGGTTCATAATATATGGCAAAAGATTTTGGCATTTTCTGGGCAACATTATTTCCTGTTTTGATATTTTTTATTTTTTTGCTTCTCCAGAATGAAATGTCAGAGAAATTTGTGTGTAATAGAATTACATTTCAAGATTTTAATTTGTTACGCAGAAGTCATGATGTTTCTATATTTATTCCAGTTTTCAAGATTTATTTTCAGTTAAATTACATAAAAGAGTTTTATTTGGATGTTGTGAATTGACATATCTGCATCTGGTCTCATAAAGGGAATTGTTCTAGGCCATTTGATATACAGTATATTATCTGAATTGTATTACATTTTGAAGAGTTAGTTCCCTTTTATCAAAAGAGTAACGCATCATGTATTTGTAGTCATAGTGTTTATTAATTTTGTACATGATAAATTATTCAAACATTGTTCACAGATGTACTTGGTGTTCAATCACTACTCGCATATGTACATAATGTTCAAACCATGTTCACACATTAACATAATGTTCAAACACTGTTCACACATGAACATAATGTTCAATTACTGTTCACACATGAACATAATGTTCAAACACTGTTCACACACAAACATAATGTTCAAGCACTGTTCACACACAAGCATAATGTTCAATCACTGTTCACACATGAACATAATGTTCAATCACTGTTTATGCATGAACATAATGTTCAAACACTGTCCACACATGAACATAAACACTGTCCAATCATGTACATGTAGTTCAATCAGTGTTCCCAATTGTACATGATATTAAAACATTTGTTCACACATGTACATTATGTTCAAGCATTTTCACATATTGTTCCATGTTATTCAAATGCTTTTAATTTACATTCATTCTAAACTTCATTTTAAATCTTAAAACAATAGCAGTTTATCTTTCCTTCAATTGTAATGGCATTTAAAAAAAACAACACACATTTCCTCCCCACACCTGTGTTTTGAAATTGATTCATGTGTAGTATGTTTATTTCAAAACATGTTTTTCTCAAAACCATAAGATGTTGAACAAAATTTTAAAAGATTCCAAATAAACTTAGCACAAATGCTATTCCCCATTAATCAAGAAAAGCTGTCAAAATATGTACAAAGAATAATTTAAATGTTGCACTATCTATGACATGCAAATTTGGAGTAAATTACTTCACAGTACAAATGATTAGACCGACTTAGAGTGCATTTAAAAGTAGAATGTCCTTCACAGCTGATAGCTTAAAGTACTTTAAAAAGTAATAATGTGTTTAGATTAGATGTTAGTTTATATATTAGCCATATAGAATTCCATTAAAGGGGAAGTGGTGTCAGTAGAGGTTTATTAGGTCAGAGACCACTAAATTTCGTTTCATCTTAATTGGATGTGTGCCAGTCCTGCAATTTCCATCCAAGTAGGATGTCATGGTCATTGTGGTGTCATCATGGTGATTGTGCTATGAAATATATTAAAACTTGAATTTCTATGAAATGAAACATAAGTAAGGATTGAGCAACAAATCAGCATTTGTGAAAATGACTCAATTTACCAATTTCGAACCTCTTTGTCAGAAACTCAAATTTATGAACAAAAAGGGTCATTTGAACACCTTCCCAAGAAGTATTTTCTTCATAAAAACTACAGATGTTAATTACTTTTGTTAATATTGATATTTTTTGCTTTGTACATAAAAAGTAAAAATTTTATTTCTTTAAATAGTATTAATTTTCCTTTTTTTGAAAAGGGATATGGTATTATATACTTTTATGGCTGGTAGATGACTAATATTAACACACATTACACACAACTGTATCAACTTTTTGATGATATTTGATACTTTTTTTGGATATAAAGTTATTTTACAGTGGAAATAAATATATTTATGAGGTCATAAAATACATTTGTACAACATTACTTTTGTTCAAAATTTTATTTTTTGTCAACCTCTGAAAAATTAGCTGAGACTGACATATGATCAGTTGTACAAACAGCTTTGAATAAAATATTTTTCTTTTTAGTATAAATTATCATGTTTTAAAATATTGTATGTGAGTACAGTAATGCTAGCTTGTGTAGGCTTCATAGGATTTACATAGGTGTGCCACACTTACCTGAAAAAGAATGTTTTTAAGTTTCTACACAGGTGTGCAGGCCGCACTAGTACATAAAGTACCAGTTATGTCCACACTTCTGTGTAAAGACCCATATTTCCTAAATAGGTGTGCCACACATATGTGTAAAAATACATATTTTCTACACAGGTGTGCATACGGCACTATTGCTTAAAGTACCATACGTTCTTAAAAGGGGTGTGCCGCATTAGTTTGTAAATGAAATAATGCACTCACAAATCATCTTACTATTCCTTCACTTGTATATGGATTTGAAAGTGGCAATAAACCCTTTGGCCCCCGTTCCTTAAATAGAATAAAATAATTGAATTATATTGATTAGTTTTTCAATGGGTTTATATTCATAATATAGGAAATGGGACTGATCTATTTCAATGTTTAAACTAAATAAAGACGACAAATTTCTTGATATTTACTTAACAATGTTAAGTGGTGACTAGTCCAATAAAATAGTAAGATATCGGAATTTTAAGCACTCTGTACTAAACATAAAGATGATTGTTTTGAAGAGCAAATAGTGTGCTCTAAGGTCGTCAACATGTTTGGCAAGACCGTCTCGGAACATAGGGACAACTTGATTCATTTTGTTGACTAATTAGACGACAAGGGTTGTCACTGAGGTTATACTGTCCCATTGAAATGTACAAACGAAAGAAATTAAACTATAAATGACGGCACTTGAGTTGTTTTAAGAGGGCGGCAACAGCAATTACAAGGTTATTGAGTGTTCCTGTACATCATGGTAAATGAAATTGTCGGATATTAGCCATAAAATGTAATTTCAAAGTCAAAGGCACTTCTCCAACTTGTATACATATGAATTATTTCAATGCAATGACATTTTTCTGAAATTGAAGGGGGAAAAAAAACCCATTATTTGTAAGTTTAAAAATCTTTGCCACCAGTTCGGTCTTTGATTAAATTAAACCCAAGTCCATATGTTTTAACAGATATTTTGCAGACTAGCATATTTGGAGGACTTGAATCAAAAGCCAGGTCAATTAATGTGTGACTATGTAGTGCTATTTAAAGGGAAGTAATATTTAATATTTAAATTAGATGACACCCTCTTTACATTCACTTATAATTGAGTATATGCAGTGTCCAGTCTTTACTGCAACAGATTGGGGTTGTTGTCCTTTCATTTAACAGTTTTAAGTTCATTTGTTATATACTTATGGGATAAAAATGGTTCAAAAACATTTTACAAATAGTTGGCCATGTTTAATCTGTTGACATAGGGTGGTCATCAAGACTTTGTAAATAAACACCTTTTTAAGATCCTAAGAATGTACTTAACACTTCAAAGTACTTTCATACAAACTGGTATTATCTGTATAGTCATCAGTAACTCTCTCACAAACCTTGTATTCAATAATAAAGATCTAAGTTTTTTTTCTGTTTTTAACATATTATAAGTTTCTTTGGTTGTGTACAGAACAATGAAGTATTTTTTTTTTGTATCATAAGGTGTGAGAGTCTAATACTGTATTGGTTTGTTTCATTAAAGTCGAAGATGTTGTCATCATCAATCTCATCCTCCTCCTCCTCCTCATCATCATCATCATTATTATTATCATCATCTACATCATATAATATTTAATATCACCACGGTAATCAGCATCATCATCACTGTGTGAACCATAATAATAATCATCACCTTGACTTTCATGAACATATTTATCACAACCCCCATAATCAATGTCATAATCATCATCATAATCATCATCATCACCACCACCACTATTATCATCATCATCACTGTCATAATCATCATCACCACTATCATCATCATCACAATCATCATTATCACAATCATTTACATAATCAACACCATGTTATGTTTATCTTGAAGCAATATCGAATAATCAAAACTAGCGCCTAAAACATGTACATCATTTTGATAGAAATTTTTGCATGTAGATATGTGATTAAAGGTCTGCAATAAAAGAAGATAAAAGAAATACCAGAAATATCCAAGGTTGCACTAGGGGAGTCATAATCAAATGTTCAAAAAAAATATAATGATATCGTGTAAATAAATGTCAGAATCCTTAGAAAAAGGAACATTTTGCATCTTTTTTTTTTTGCACAATAAATGATTTTTCCAGAGCAAAAGTTTATGCTGTAGATATTATCGTATGAAATATATAAAGGTCTGGTATGTTTATTTATATCATTTGTTATACAATAAAGTGTGAGATATCTTCTTCCAAGTTTTTGTATGCAATA